TCCAATAGAGTGGTTGTACAATATTCAGTGGCAGTACCCAATAGAGTGGTTGTACAATATTCAGTGGCAGTACCCAATAGAGGGGTTGTACAATATTCAGTGGCAGTACCCAATAGAGAGGTTGTACAATATTCAATGGTAGTACACAAAAGAGTGGTTGTACTACATTCAATGGCAGTACATAATAGAGAGGTTGTACAATATTCAATGGCAGTACATAATAGAGAGGTTGTACAACATTCAATGGCAGTACGCAATAGAGTGGTTGTACAACATTCAATAGCAGTACACAATAGAGTGGTTGTACAACATTCAATAGCAGTACCCAATAGAGTGGTTGTACAACATTCAATAGCAGTACCCAATAGAGAGGTAGTACAACATTCAATGGTAGTACACAAGAGAGTGGATGTACAACATTCAATGGTAGTACACAATAGAGTGGTTGTACAATATTCAATGGCAGTACACAATAGAATGGTTGTACAATATTCAGTGGCAGTACATAATAGAGTGGTGGTACAATATTCAGTGGCAGTACATAATAGAGTGGTGGTACAATATTCAATGGCAGTACACAATAGAGTGGTGGTACAATATTCAGTGGCAGTACATAATAGAGTGGTGGTACAATATTCAATGGCAGTACCCAATAGAGTGGTTGTACAATATTCAGTGGCAGTACCCAATAGAGAGGTTCTACAATATTCAATGGTAGTACACAAAAGAGTGGTTGTACAATATTCAATGGCAGTACACAATAGAGTGGTTGTACAATATTCAATGTCAGTACATAATAGAGAGGATGTACAATATTCACTGACAGTACCCAATAGAGTGGTTGTACAACATTCAATGGCAGCACACAATAGAGTGGTTGAACAACATTCAGTGGCAGTCCACAATTGAGTGGTGGTACAATATTCAGTGGCAGTACACAATAGAGAGGTTTTACAATATTCAGTGGCAGTACATAATAGAGAGGTTGTACAATATTCAGTGGCAGTACACAATAGAGTGATTGTACGATATCAAATGGCAGTACACAATAGAGTGTAGGTACAATATTCAACTGCAGTATGACAAGATAGTAATCACCTCGCTGCAACAGTGTTCAAGCTTCCGAGATCGGCCTAGGCTGAACTCAAGGGTGAAAAGCTGGTCTTGATGGATATGTCAGATGAAATGTGAGAGATGATACGAGTACGCGCTCGCTCCACTTATATAGTCTTACTTGTTTCCATCATAGTGCTAGGCCAGTCCAGTGTCACCAGAACATCACGGATTGTTTCAATAATGGTTGACATCAGTTCGTGCTATTCCGGATAATTCGAGCAGCTAAATATAATACCTTCCACACCACTGCTTACATTTGATAGTACTACATTCCTGAGAACTAATCATTGTTCAAATATAATGCAATTTATTTCTACTGAATCTCAACAGAGACAACTTACAGTTACAATCATTGTTTCACAAATAAATTACACTGACCCATAACATTATCCCACATAAGTATGTAAAGTTTTATAAAGGGGTGCCGCAGCCATGATACACGCAGTGAACAAGCCTACTCACTCACACGCAGCGTTCATCCCACTCACTCGCTGACTCGTAGTGGCAGACATTTATCACATATAAGTAGGTAAAACTTTATCTAGGGGTGCCCCAAGCCATGTGAAATGCAGTGTACGTCTCACTCACGCACTCACTCACTCACTCATAGTGGTAGACATTTATGGTAAACCAACAATTAATCTACGTCAACAATTTGAACCAATGAACGTGATCCACATGTTTATTGTGAGTCATGTTTTAAACATGTACGTAATATTGATCTCATCCTAGCCTTCAAGACGGGGAACGTGAAATTGTCAGGTGATACTCTCCAACAGTCGTGTCTTGTATTCATCGTTTGCTAGGTGGCAGCCTTGGGGACCTGGTGCCGGTAGTCGTCTAGCACATCTCTGTCTGTTTCCTGTACCCCTCTGTGAACAAGATGCTGTCGCTGTGTTCAAGTAACTGTTGCGGTTTGCAGCCGGCATTAACAGCAACTGTTTTCATCTTGTTTGGAATTTCTGCATGCTGCTCAAAGAAATGTGGTTTTCAGATGACAGAGCAAATGACGTACAGGTCTTTCACCATCAGGAACAGTGGCATTAAGTTGTGCCAAGTAAGATGTGTTGAAAATTGCTTCAGTTCGAATTTCGATTTTGTTAATGAAACGTCAAACTGTCCAAGTTATGACCCAAAGAAGATTGAGAAGACGAGCGGATTGAAAGTTCATCCTAAGAGTCACCCCAATGTAAGTTATATTTTTTGTGGAGTGTGTTGATCTTACCTTGAACCACAGGTACCACATTGATTGTTGCTCAAATCTTTCAAATAAAGGACCTTTTGCTTCGGTGAAAGTCAGTACGATTACAAACTTTTCCTAAACTGTGTAGATGATTTGGTTGGTTGGTTTGTTATTTTACGCCGAACAATATTCCAGCTGTATGACGGCGGTCTGTAAATAAGCGAGTCTGGACCAGACAATCCAGTGATTGATATCATGAGCATCGATCCAGGCAATTGGGATTGGTGACATGCTTCAATCAAGTCAGCGAGCCTGACCACCCGATCCCATTTGTCGCCTCTTACCTCATGCAAAGTTGCCTTACATGGCAAGCATGGGTTGCTTAAGACCTATTCTACCCCGCACCTACACGGCAAGCATGGGTTCTGTGTAGTTGAACATAAGCCATAAGGCAATATGGCGGATGTGTGGTGTGATGTGTTCACGACGCTCCACCACATCAGTATGTGAGAGATATGAAGAGTAGACATAAAGAACAATTGTGCAGCAAAGGGAATATGTGTCGTACAATTCCGTGCCAATAATTTTTTGGTTCCATCACTGTTTCTCAATTCTGACAAAATCGATCATCGTGTTGTTGCATCTCGCCTGCACAGAAATCTTGTAATGGTGGCTTCAATACACGGTTGACTGTTATGAACTTGATTTTGATACTTGTTACTTCGATTGTGTGGAACAAAACCCGGGCCCTACTGACAAAGGTGATCAAGGAGCCAAGAGTCAGAGCAGTTCTTGTCAATCCAAACTGGGATTCTGTCCTAAATGATATTCAGGCCATGTTGGTGAGGGTGAAAGTGTGGAGAAGGTGGCATGTCAGAGTTGTAACCACATTCCTGATGTAAAATCATACGGGGAGCTGGAAATAGAAAATATTCAACTAAAATGATAATGTGTGTCGATATATGGATAAACTTGACAACACTGAAAACCAAAGTGGATAAGAGTGAGTGAGTGAGTGAGTAGGGTTTTACGCCGCTTTTAGCAATATTTCTGCAATATCACATGGGCTTCACACATTGTACCAATGTCGGGAATCGAACTCGGGTCTTCGGCGTTACAATCGAACGCGTTAACCAGTAGGATACCCGACCGCCCCAAGTGGATAAGAAAATATTATTCAGTACTAGTAACAGAACATCACGTGGCACCGCATAGTCATGTGGCCGTCCTCATTAGGACACAGAAGAAAGTGACAAAAACAGTAACAAAACATCACGTGACACCACCTAGGAATGTGTCAATCCTCAGTAGGACACATGAGTGAGTGAGTTGGGTTTAACGCAGCTTTCAACAGTATTCCAGTTATATCGCGGTGTGTCAGCTTAATGTAGGAAAGCCCGAGGTGATGCAGGTCTCAGACGTTTACCAATTTGGTGAAACCCACGAGCATGTTTTTTTTGCTGACAAATTTAGAATCATAATAGGGGCGAACCGGGAGACAGTGACAACATCTGAACATCTCGTAATTAACAAAATGACAAAATCCAGTTGTGTATCCATAATTCAATATTTGCCTATAATTTTCAACACCGCGTTAAAAAAATTAACTATGGTGTGATCTGAAGTAACCTGACTCTTTTACATTAGCACTATAGATGTAATAACTTTAGAGGGATAACACTGATGAATGTATGTGGAATACGTATGGCAACAGTGTTAAGTGATCGATATTTGCTGATACATTTGCTCCATCTCAGTGAACTTATTCTTTAAGTGGTGTACGACAAGGGTGTGTACTCGGTCTGGGTTTCTTCTCAGTGTTAGAAAATAATGGCCTCAGAGGAATTTCTGTTTGTTTTAATTATTATTATTGTTATTTGACTGGTGTTTAATTGATGATACTGTGATTAGACAAAAGGGCAATGAATGCATAACATTTGTAAATTATCAAATCTTCAGGTTAATATGACTAAGACAGACATTTTGGTTTATAGAAAAGGGGGACCTGTTCGAGGCGTTGAAAAATAATTTTGGGTTGGACGTCCTAACAAAGTCTCAGAAAAGAACAATTGCTAAGGAGATGCAGATCTGTGATTGCTGCTCGGGGCGGTCACACGAGACACTGAGTTCAGCGCTACCTTGTGGCCTCATGTGACATGACAATGAACAGTTACAATGCCTTAGTACCATGACAACATGTGACTATGGAACTCCAAAATTTCATATTTGTATCTATGATATAAAATGAAATATATCGACTTTATTAGGTACTATGAATTTACTACCTGTACCTTTCTTTTTTTTTGAAGAGTGTATATATACAAATATACTTCTACTGTTACATAAATGCAACTTAAATTTGTTAACATGGCAGTTTTGTATTGTTTGATACTAAAATATAACCAATTGTACTTTATGGGTCCGAAATATGGAGATACTCTGTTCGTTTCTCGGTGGAATCAGTTGATGCCATCCATTTTTCTATATTCGTTTCAGATGTTTGCAGCGGCATTTGGTTGAATGTGGCAGATATGGATTACATGTTGAATAGCACCTGAAATGTATGAAATACTGGTGCAAGTTATTTTATATGTTTATGAAAATAATTGATGACAGTCGCAGAACAGATTGACCCCTACACTAAAAACTAAGACATATACATAGAGTCTCACAAGGTTCTTTTTATTGCTGTCTAAAGGTC